GGACAGCTAGTGTGTTCAAATGAAAGACTTTCTGGGAAGGAGCTGAGTGCTTAACTGTTGCACTGACGCCTTACTGGGTATTTGTTTAGTCTTCTTGAGATTTCCTACAGAGCCCTGGTGGCGCAGGAGCCGAGATGCCTTGGACCGGAGGCTTGTGACAGGTTTCTGAAAAGGCCCAGCTTCGAAAACGCTGGAGAGCAATTCTACACTGTACACATGGGGGTGCCACAAGCCTATCAGATCTTGTTCCTGACGAGTTGCAGGATCTGTTTTCTTGAGTCAAAGTTTACAAATCATATTGGTTTTTCATTCAGTTCCTCATACACATTTTGAGTGCCCCCCCCATTTTGTTTTATAAGTTTGTAATTATAATTTCATTTGCTTATTCAGACACTCTTTGTTTTATTACAATTGATTGCTGTAATTAACTAATTACAGTGTCTGATCAACCCCTTATTAGAGTGCCTTTCCCTACAACTGGCTTATTGATTGATTAATTTTTAATCATTTCTCCTTCTCCTTCCACCTCCGGTAGTCATTATCCTGGGTGGATGTTTTGTGAGTTTTAAAAATGAAGCCACTTTTCTAAGGTCACACTGTGCCAATGCCACAAGTAGACTTGGGGTATTTTGGGCTTGCCTGAGGTCCAGGAGATGGTCTAACATACTTAGAGGGATTGATGATTTTGGTATCTTCTTGCTTTTGATATTGTTTAAGGATCAAGGGCCATTTCAAGCCTGTATGAAGTTGGATGAGATGATCCGATGACAGTGGTGAGGGCTGGGTAGTTTATTTTACTCCAGGAGTGGAGCAGAATGAACTCAGGATCATTAACTGAAAACAGGCCAGACTTGTAGGGCAGGAGCCTCATTTCCTTGACCCTCCTTCCTGCACCAAATGGACTCTTATCTTTTCTTTACTACCCCTCCTCCTCCCTTCACCCACTACAAGCCACTCAGCCCTCCCCTTAGGGGGAAAATGCTCAGTATAGGGATGACTTAAGTCATCCTTATTACTAGAGATCCTTAGTACTGTGCGAGGGCTGGGGGGAGGGAAAAGGCAGGAAAAGGGGCACGAAGCGTGGTTTCAGTTTGCCTGGCAATTTCTTATTTATTTGATAAGTAGCATGCACCCAATCAGGCAAGGCACAGATGACAATCTCATTTTACTTGGGAGTAGGGGAGGCGTGGGGGGCCAATGGGGAAATGTCATCAGTGCAGGTTAAATGATTGTCCCTGGCTGGCTGGTGGAAAATCCAGCCTAGTGCTTTGAGCCTCTTCTGCTAGGGTTTTTGTCCTGAACTCAGATGCATACTCCTAATGCATAAACAGTCAGGTTAAACATTCCCTGCGATATTATTTTGACAGTATCCCCAAATGCTGACAGAATGTTTTCTTTTCATCCCAAATGAGTTTCTTATTTATGTGCTTTATGTACATTATTTGATTGGAAGAAAAAAAAACACCCCAAAACCACAATACAAAAACCCAAACCACAAAAGGCGGGGAAAAAATCAAACCTGGCACATCAGACTTTTTTCTCTTTTTCCTGGCTGGCTTTACAGAAGCAGAACACCAAGTCTTTCTTCCCAGATTCGGCTTGGTGTTGGGTGAGACTGAGTATGGTTGGTGTGGTAGACTGACTTGCCAGGCCCTTCTTAGGTGTTAATGCCAGATGCTTTTTGACTTGCAGGCAGTGAGTCAGAGTTGAACACAAACTGTTAGTGCCTCCTAGTTAATTGTTGGAGAGTACTGTGGACTGTCAGAAGAATACCAGATGTCCTGGAGGAAGTGCCCAAGGTGTTCCTGAGAGCCCTTTGCCTTATGTACTTTGGGCATGTTAGGAGGGACCAGCCCTTGGAAAAAGACATCATGCTTAGAAAGGTGGAAGGTCAGTGAAGAAGACCTTCAGTGCGATGGATTGGCACAGTGGCAATAACAGTGGGCTAAGTATATCAGAGATGATGAGGATGGCACAGGATAGGGCAGAGTTCAGATCTGTTGTTCAAAGGGTTGCTCTGAGTTGGAGCAAGTCAGTGGCACCCAGCAGTGGTAACAGTTAGTGGTAGTTAGCTGCCCTGGTGACCTCACATGTTACAGGGTAGAACTACTCCGTAGTGTTTTATTGGCTGTGGTTTTTATAGAATTAGATCACGAGACCTTTCATCTGCAGAGTTGCTACTCAGTAAACATGAATCTTGAATCATTTCATTCTGTCCCTATTTGCACCCACGTGCTGCTTTTCAGGTGCCTGCTCTTAGCAGCTGTTTGGTGGGTTACCAGAGCCATGACAGAGTTGGTTTCTTTGGGGAGAATATTCCTTGGCCTAGTTTTTCCTTCACTGTTTTGAGGTGGTGGGTGGCTCTTCCAGCTGGCCACCCTGACCTCATCTGACTCTTTGCTGCTTGAGGTTTATGGGGCTTTTGTTTTGTTTCTCTTGCTTGCCAGCTTAGCAGCTTGGAACCAGGCTGGTTGAATGACACAGACCCAGAGTGGGTTGTGCCATGTAAATTCTTGGCCCTCCCAGCTGTCTGGTAGATGAGTTAGCTCATCATCAAATTGATGGAATGTTATGTGTGTTAAGCCCTGGAAGATGTGGAATGGAGAAACATGGTTAATATACTCAGCAAGGTGCCTAACATTCAATCATTCAAACTGGATATTGAATTCCTGTGTGCCAAGCTGTGTCTAGGAATGTAAGGATAAGATAGAGATGGTCCCAGCCCTTATCCTAATGGCATTATCAACTGCAGAGAACAGTTAGTGGTATTAACATTAAGACTCTTAATAATGCAACAGTAATGATGTTATTACTAGAATGATGAGTGATTTACCACCTTTTTGGATTTATAACTGGGGGGTGGCTCATCATACTGTCAGACCAGCTGTCTGTCTGCATTCCTCTAGCAGCTCTTTATTAAACTAGCAGACTTGAAAATCTGAATTTTGGTTTTATTTTCTGATGGCTGGAGGATGCTTGGGCTGTTTATAATTCCTTTAACTGGGGGAGAACATCCTGGATTGGATTGGGAGCCCTGATCCTGGGCATGCTGGAGTCCCGAGATGGGAGGCTTGAGCATCTTAATGGAGCTTTGCTATGGCATCTCACTGGCACCCAGTCTTTCTTTCCCTGGTCCAGGTTTTTTGTAAGAACTGCAGTGCTTTTTAAGTTAAGCAGAGCATTAATGGGTGAGTGAAATTGACCAACAAGTTCTTTTGTTTGTTTTTTCTTTTTTCAAATAATAGCTTTATTTTTACATATTTCACATGCCATGAAATTCACGCTTTTTGGATAAAGTATTTGTCACAGTGAAGAAGTGAGAAAAGTACTATGAAGTACAGTGTGAAGATTGTAATGAGTGTCATCAAACAGTGTGTGAGTGGCTGAGGGGAGACTCTGTTTGCCCTGTAAACTTTGACTCCAGTAACATTAAAAATGTTAAAAGAAACCAGTAAACTGCTAATCTTGTAGATTTTGTATTAAAGTAATCCTGTTTGTCTGCATATGGACATCTTAAGAATATTAATAAATTTCACTAAAAATAGAAATTTAAGATTGTTTCTCAGTATATTCACATACAGAGTTGTGCAACTGCTGTTTCCATTAATTTAAGAACGTTTCATCTCCCCTGAGTGCCTTCTCATTAGCTTACAGTTCCAATTAGTTTCTATTGGTCACCTTAGGAAACCAGAAATCTACTCTCTGTCTCTATGGATTTGCGTATTCTTGACATTTTATATAAATGAGATTATGTACTATGTGGCCTTATATGTCTGACTTCTGTTCCTTAGCATGTTTTTAAGGTTCAGCCATGTTGTAGCACATATCAGTACTCCACTCTTCTTTTATATATGTTATATATGTTATAACAGTTTATTCACTCATCATTTGATGGCCATTTGGGTCCTTTCCAGTTTTTGCCTGTTAGAAGGAATGCTGCTGTGAATATCTGTATATAAGTTTTTTGTGTGGACATGTGTTTTCAGTTCTCGTGAATAGATACTTAGGAGTAGAATTACCGGGTCACATGGTGACTGTGTTTAAATTTCTGAAGAACTGCCAAATGATTTTCCAAAGCAGCTGCACCATTTTGTAATCCTACTGGCTGTGTATGAGGATTGAAATGTGTCTGCATCTCACCAGCATTAGTTATTATCTGAGTTTTTTTATCATAGCCATCATAATAGGTGTTAACTGACATCCCTTTATGGTTTTAATTTGCATTTCCTTAATGAGCAAGAGACATCTTTTCATGTTCTCATTGGCTATTGTTCTGTCTTCTTTGGGGATTCTTTCCATCTTTTGTTCAATTTTAAATTGGACTGTTTGTCTTTATTGTTGTGTCTTAAGAGGATTTTGTGGTTTTGAGTGTTTTTTTTTTTAAAACATATTCTAGGTACTAGTCCTTTGTCAGATGAATTCTTTCCAGTTATTTTTTCCCATTGTCTTTGTGTTTTTTTGATGGTGTCCAATTTATCCATATTTTCATTTACGTTTGGCTCATATTTAAGAAACCATTCTCTAATCAAAGGTTATGCGGATTTGTTGTCACGTTTGGCATTGTCAGGTTGATTTGGCAACCCCATGTGATGGAGGAGAGCCATCCCATGTTCTCTAGACTCTATAGGAGCAGATCTAGAGGTCTTTTTCCCTCAGAGCAGTTGAGTGGGTTTGAGCAGATATTATTTAAGTTAGCAAACTGATCTCTTAACCTTTTATGCTGTCAGGGCTGCTTCATGAAGATGTTTCTTCTATGGTTTCTTTAATGTTAGCTCTTTCCTGACCTCTAAGTTCTTCTATTCACGTGGGCTTCAGAAGTTCCTTGACACTGTTTGCTAGGGGGAGTGAATGGGATGGGGGTAGGACTTCCTTTCCTTACCACCTTGAAGAGCCAATCAAAGGCCTTGATCCTGGGAAGCATTGATTCCTAGGTGTTTCTAGCTTTTTTGAAGTTTCTATATCTCATTTCATTGTCTTTTTTTTTTTTCTTTTTTGGTAAGGTAATGAATGAAGAGGACTTTATTAGGAAATTGGACTGCAAGCCTGATCAGAATCTGAAGGTGGTTTCCATTTTTGGGAATACTGGTGATGGAAAATCTCATACTCTCAACCACACTTTCTTTTATGGCCGTGAAGTCTTCAAAACCTCTCCTGCACAGGAGTCCTGCACCGTGGGAGTGTGGGCAGCATATGACCCGGTCCACAAAGTCGCAGTGATAGACACGGAAGGGCTTTTGGGGGCCACGGTGAATATAAGCCAGAGAACACGACTGCTGCTTAAGGTCTTGGCCATCTCAGATCTGGTCATCTATCGAACTCACGCAGACCGACTCCATAATGACCTCTTCAAGTTCCTTGGGGACGCCTCAGAAGCGTATCTGAAGCACTTCACTAAGGAGCTCAAGGCCACCACTGCCCGTTGTGGTCTGGATGTCCCCTTATCCACCCTGGGCCCTGCTGTCATCATTTTCCATGAGACTGTACATACACAGCTGCTGGGCTCTGGTGAGTAAGTAGATGGGTGCTATGGTATAGACTGACCTTTCTAAGAATAGAGAAGTAACCACTGGGCTGCATATAGCAACTTGGTGGTAGTGGATTACCCAGCGCACCCCCCCCCCCAAAAAAAAAAATTCTGTCCAGGCAAGGTACACAGGAAGAGATCAAGAAGGGTGGAATGTGCAAATCTGCGTGTAGATTAAGCAGGGTGCGGATTGCAGGTTAGCCCTTGGTGTTGGCAGTGTAGATGTCATTGGGCTCTGCATAAGAGCAGTGTCACTGGTACGGTGTAGGTGAGAGCCTGAGGAGAGCGGGATCTACAAAGAATATGAAGGTAATAGAGACACCGAGTCTAACTCTTTCAGAGCTACGTGTGAACAGCAGAAAAGTAAAAACAACTGGAGAGATAGGTGAAATTTGGAAGCATTTTCTTTTTTAACTTGTTTTTTTTATTCATTGTTGCTCAAGGAATTTTCTTTTTAACAACTTAAGGTGTAAGACTATAGACATTGGTGTACTGGTGGGAATGATTGATTAGAGATGGAGGGCTTGCTGACGTGGGAGAGAGAGAGCAGGAACAATTGGAATGGTACACAGGTTAGCCTTGTTGTTACTGTGTATACTGTCGAGTCAGAACCAACCCAGAGGTGACCCTCTGCTGGGTTTTCAGAGGCAGTTTTAATTGTGCAGGGAGGGTATTGCTCATCCCACGGAGCGACTGGTGGATTCAAAACATGTGCCTTTGAGATTGCAGTGCAGCTTCTTACCACTGGGCCAGTTATGCTTAAGAGCACCTATAGTTCATTCAGTAGGAATAGCTGAGAGGGTGTAATACGTAGGCACATTTGCAGGTAAGTAGGAAGATGTGGTGGTGGTTGTTGTTGGGGTGTGTGTGTAAGTTCTTATTGTGTCTATTTTCTTAGAGAAATAGGAATTGAAATCACCACCTGCGTGAGAGGACGAGGGAACAAGAATAACAACAGTAGTTCAGTGTGAGGGGCAGGGAACAACAGTAATATTGGTCCCTAAAACAGTCACACAATATACTTGTTTATTTAATCACCCATGGATTATTTGTGTGCAGTGTCCTGTGCTAACCTTGGGAGCACAGAACTGAAGGAAAAACCCAGTTTCTCCCTTCCAATAGCCAATAATCTTGCTAAGTCCAGGAGATGTATTAGATGTAAGTACTGGAGCCATGGATGTGCAGAGAAGGACATGAGAAGGAGGAAATGACATTTTGGACTTTGGGACACTGGCTAGCTAAAGGAGGGGAGGAAAGACGTTCTATGAGAAGCAGACAGACACCTGGTGAAGTTGTGTTCAGGAACTGCAGGTGGTTCTGCAATTGTTTGTTGGTTTTGAGTGGTTTCTAACTCAGGATGGGTCCATGAATGGAGAACAGATCTCCAGACTTGTTTTCTGAGGGGTCTCTGTGTGGGACCTTTTGGCTGGTAGTTGTGTACGTAATTGTGCCACTCAGAGACAGTTGAGTGTGACTCCTTGTTACCCTTGAACAGCACGTCTGGACTTTTTGTGCCATCCTCTCCGTGTCTGACGTGCCCTTTGTTACAGTCAGTCTTGTCTTGGGTCTTCCGCTTTATCCCTGAGCCTCCACCTTTCACACCATAATGTCTTTCCCGAGGACTAGCCCGTCCTGACAACATGCCCAGTATACAGGAGACAAAGTTTCCCCATCCTTGCTGCTGAGGTGTGCCCTGGCTGCACTTCCTCCACGAGTTTTGTTTTGGGGTGTTTTATTTTGGGACAATTCAGGGAGCACTAGTGGCTTAGTGATTAGGAATTTTGCTGCCAATACAAATGTATGCAGCTCACTCTATTGGAGAAAGATGGACATATCCTTCCTGTGTGATTTACAGCCTCTGAGTGTCAGCTTGAGTTGATTCTGACTCAATGGTCCTTAACAGGTATTTAACAATGACAACATAATACGTGCGGTACTCCTCTCTAGTTCCCTACTGGCTTCCTAGAGTACATTTTAGCAGCCTTTTTCAGCCCAGCTGCCTCCCAGCATCCAGAGTGATCTTTTTGAAAATTTAATTTCTAAATTAGATCATGTCACACTCCTGTCATCACATACTTGTCAGTGGCTTTACTGTATATTCAAAATGGAATTAAAACTTTTAAATATGTGTTCAAACTAAAAACTTACTGTTGTCAAGCAAGTTAAAACCCACTCATAGCAAGTGGAAATAAATAACACGGAAGGAAGGTGCCATCTTTCTCCTCTGGAGCAGCTAGTGGATTTGAACTGCAACCTTTGGATTGACAGCCCAACTCTTTACTCACTAGACTACTAGGGTTCCCTTAAATATGATATACTTAGACTCTTACATGTAGTTCTAACTTCCTTCTTAATCCTCCTATTCGGTAGCGATCTTCTTCCCCTCACTGTACAGTGCACACACACAAGTGCACTTGCGCACCCCCGTGTGTGTGTGTGTGTTTTCATTCCCTCCACTAGCCACACCAGCCTTTTCTCTGGTAGCCTTTTACATTTGCTACTTTGTCTGGGATATTCTTCCCATAGTTAACCAGACAAATTATCTGTAGCTTAAGCATCACCCTTAAGGTTTTCTCTTATGTAGTGATCCCGTCCTACACCTTAGTAGTTAAACTCATCACATTGTCCTCTTCATTTCCATCAGGGTTTCTGTCACTGCCTAATGTTATCCTGTGGATTTGTTTACTTGCTTTTGGTCTTTTGAACGGAAACTCCAGGAAGGCAGTAATCTTGCCCATTTTATTCATTACTGTATTTAAAGAGCCTGGGTTAGTGATTAACACAGAGTTGTTGTTGTGTACCATCCAGTCAAAACCAACCCTTAGCTGACCCTCCCATGGGTTTACAGAGGTGGTTAATTGCATGGGAGGAGATTGCCCATCCTTTTCCCGTGTGGAGGAGCTGAACCATGTGCCTTCGAGATTGCAGGATGGGGGATTAATAATAAGGAAATAGATCTAAAGGAACCTGGGGCAGATTGATTCCTGGGTGTAGCAGTGACTCATGGCCTAGAAATTCCCTGCTGGTGAAATTCGATTCTGATTTCTAGTGACTCTCCTTTGAGTTTATGAGGCTGTAAATCTTTATAGAGGACAGACAGGCCTGGGTTTTTTTATTTCCCCTCTGAGCACCTGGTAAAGTGAAACTGCTGACCTTTTTTGTTAACAGCCAAACACATAATGCACTGTGTACCACCAGGGCTCACAGCTTTTCTAAAACAACTCATTGCCATCGAGTTGGAACCAACTCATAGCTGACCCTCCAGCAGGTTTTCAGAGGCTGTTGGTGAAAGCAAGGAGCTCCTGGTGGATCCAGACCCTCAGGGAGGTGCTGCCCTTGGTTGGTAGTACTCTAAGCACTATTGTTGTTGTTGGTTGTGTTATGTGCCGTTGAGTCATCGTGACAGAGGGTGACTCTGTGTTCAGTAGCTCTGCACTCTGCCCCATCTTGAGCCAGGCCCACTAACTATTAACACATCTCACCCCAGTCCCACAGCCACTGTGTCAATCCATCTCATCTGGGGTCTTCCTCTCCTGTACTGTCCCTCCACCTTCCAAGCATGATGTCCTTCTCCAAGGACTGGTCCCTTCTGGCCACATGCCCGAAGTACTATAGGTAGATTTAAAAAATCCAGTAGATTTATTGTTGTTATATGCCATTAAGTTGGAACCAAGTTATAGCTGACTTGTAAATCACACAGGAGGGAATTGTCCAACTGGTGGATTTGAACCTCACAATTGGCAACACAATTTCTTACCTGTAGGTAGTTTAAAAAAAATTCTAATGTTCCAGAGTGGATATTTGGTACTGGAAAAATCTCTGTTAGTTGGAGAATTGGAGGAGGTGAAAAAAAATGCTTCATTTAGGATGCCTTCTGCCACGTTTGGTCTTTACATCTTTGATGCAGTATAAAGGTTCAGTTACCAGCTGATTGGCTTATTCTTTTTGCTGTGTGCCATGAACTAAGCTGTGAGCTTTCCAGAAATGCTAAATAATGTACCTTAGTGGGCAGTGTTTTGCTCTGTTGTCCATAGGTTGTTGTTAGTCAGAACTTTCTTGATGTCACCTGACAATAGCAACCATCAACCTCATTTTATAGCTGAGGAAAATGAGTTCCATAGCCAAGGAGATTCCAGCTAGGAAATTGCCCAGTTGGGATTTCAAACCACTCCGTCTGACTCCTAAATCCAGAGCTATTTCCAGACATCATCGCTGCTGCATGTGGAACCAAGTCAGGCAGCTTTTTTGCAGGACAGGAGGAGGAGTGCCAAAATGATAAGCAAATTGGTTAGATTTCCTCTGTCTTCTAGAATTTCTGCTTTTCTGTTTGGTTTTCCTCTTTCTGGGTGGAGGTTTCTCAGGTAAGAGTCAACAGGGGAATGGATTATTCCTATTTTTCAAATAAGTTGAGCTAAGTTTATTCGGGAACTGTTCTTATATGTCCAGGGACAGTTGTGTGGTGAGTTGCGGAGGAAGTGAAGGTGGTGAGGCTGGGCCCTGGAGTGCCTTTAGGTAGAAGTCACTGGTGAGCCACTTGTGGGGTACTGCCTACTCTCATTTCAGAAGTTGTCATGGGAGGTGTTCAGGAGGAGATAAGAGAATAGCAGTATATTTGTGGCTGCCTCTCTTTGATGATTATACCTTTAAATTTAAGGGTATAACCATATATTCTTTGTTAATTGAGTGCTTTTGGGAGAGGGAGTGTGTAATTAATAGAGTAAAGAAAATTACCACAAAAGGTCTTTCCAGCTTTTGCATCTGAAACATCTGTTGAGTCCATCAGTACCACTACTGCACACATTTGTCTACAAATGTTGGTGGCACTACAGGCAAACTAGTATCTCTGTCCATTGGCAGTTTCCCACAGATTCACAAGTATGAGACCAAAGTTTTCAGAGTAACTGTTAACTTTAACTGTTCATTCATAGTAGATTAAGTGTATCCACCAGGTGGATACAGTGTAGCTGTTGAAAAGAAGTAAGGAGCTTTTCAGAGACAGTGGCTGTTTGTTATTAAGTGATAAAATGCATATCTGTGTTGTTAAATTTGTTGCCTTTGAGGAAGTAATAGGAAATAGAGGGCTTAATTTATCCAGACTGGATGAAGCCATAGAAACAGAAAGCACATTAGTGATCGCCAGGGCTTGTATGGAGGAAGATGAGGAGTGACTGCTAATAGATGTGAGAGTTTCTTCCTGGGGAAATGAAAATGTTTTGGACCTAGAGAAAGAAATGATGGTTGTATGACATTGTTAATATGCTTATTGCACTTATTTGCACTTTTGAATCTGGTTAGCTTGATGTTACGTAAATTTCCCCAAAAGTTAAAAAAAAATTGTATAGCTCTGTGACTTTTCACTGCTTGGACACCCCCTGTATAATCAATGCCAGCTTAGACACTAGCACCTGCCTTATATAACTCCTCCTCATACTTTCTTCTGGAGAAGGGTACCCTAAATTCTAATAGTATGGAGTAGTGCCATGTCATGTACTCTCTCTATAGGAAGTCAGAATACATATAACTTTTAATAATGAATTATTATTACTTTAACAAGTTATTGTTCATGTACTTCTATTTCTGCTTTTCCAGATCACCCCTCAGAGGTGCCAGAGAAGCTTATCCAGGACCGGTTCCGGAAGCTGGGCCGTTTCCCTGAAGCCTTCAGTTCCATTCACTACAAGGGAACAAGGACTTACAACCCTCCCACAGACTTCTCTGGGCTCCGACGAGCTTTGGAGCAGCAGCTGGAGAACAACACCACTCGTTCACCCCGGCACCCAGGGGTCATCTTCAAAGCCCTAAAGGTCAGTTGGCTCCTGCCCCAAGTGCTGCTCATTGAGGTACCAGTGGGTGGTGAGAACACTCCATTCTCTAGCTTTTTGTTGTTGTTTTTCTGGTGATTGGAAGTCTGGGCTGGACAGAAATGTTGTGAGAAGAGGGGGCTTATGAGTGGAGTTGGCACCTGTGCAATGCCCTCATCTTGCTAGGAAGTCTTGAGTCATAACCAGTGACGGGTTCTCATCTGGGAGAAAAACTTAGACTTTTGCAGACTAGGAAAAATGCCTTGCTTCCTGGACAACATGATCCATTCCTGGAGTGCGGACTTTGTGGTCAGGCTCTGTCATGTGGAAAGCCTTTGTGCATTTCTTTACATCAACTCGTCATCTTTTTTAAAAAAATTTTATTATTATTAGTATGTGTGTGTACCGTCAAATCGGATCTGACTGGTACAGGAGGAGATTGCCTATCCTTCTCCAGCAGAGCATCTGGTGGATCAACTCATCATCTTTTAAAATTCAAGTTTTAGCGAAGGAATCTTTGTGTTGTCATTCTGAATGGAGAGGGGAGCTCTGGGGGCTATGTGTCTCAGGAGGTTTGGACCCACCAGAGGCTCTCCAGGATGAGAATGATCAGTCTCCTCTAATGCAGTTGACAGCCTTGGAAAGCCAGTTGGGGGCTGCTGTGAGATGGAACCGACTCCACACAGTGAGCTTGAGTTATAAATGGAACACTAGTAAGTACCATGTGTACAAAATGATCAAACCGAAAATAGACATGAGGTAATAGTAGTAATTAAGTTTATTATGCGCCGAAGTGCTATCTCTTATGCATGGATTAGTTAATTTAATCCACATACCAACCTTGTGGATTTTGTACTGTTGTGTTTTTTTTTTGTTAAGTACTGTTATTGTCTTCATCTTGCACAAAAGGAAACTGAGGCACAGAGAGATGAACTAACTGGTTACACACAACTACTAAGGGACTCAAATCTAGGCACTTACCACCAAGACACCACTGCTGCTCAAGAAGTAAAATAGATTGTTTCCCCGTTAGAGGCTCTTCCTCACTGAAGAGTCTGAGACTGTTGCTCATTTATTCTTCGTTTAAAAGGGAGCTTAGCAATGTTTTGAAGATATGCTGTCAGCTGAGTGAGACTTTCTCATTGAAGGAGTCTGAACTTCTGAAAAGTAATTGAAAAGGAAGTATTTTTTTTCCTAATTGAATTTTATTGTTGAGAATATACCTGACGGAACATAACACTAATTCCGCAGTTTCTGCATGTACAGTTTAGTGACACTGATAGCGTACTTTGAGTTGGTGTAACCAGTAAGAATAGGATAATTGAACACTATGACTTAATGATATTGCCATTTTAAAAAAATTGGTTGGTTAATGGCAATGGAGTTTTGATCTCATCACACATATACTTGTCAAAACATTCACTGAGCCCAGTAAAGCTGGCAAAGTTTTCCCAAAAGCAATTTTAAAATGATTGATATCATTGTATGAATAAGAATTCTAATTTTGTAACTCGTTTATTCAGTAATCAATTTCTGTAGCATTTGCATAAATTCACATCTTCTTACTATAATTGTAATTATGTATGTAATTAGTCATATACTATAATTGTATAGTAGATAGAAAATGTGGATTCTGCAGTAAAGTTTAATGTTGAAAACAGGCTGTCCATAATCCCACCACCTCACTAAGGAGGTCTGCTGCCCTAAGTGGGTAAGGAGTTGCCCTGCCAACCCAAGGACAGACAGTTCTTTTTTTTTAATTATTAAATTTTATTAGTTTTAATGAACATTTACAGAGATTTTGGGTTTTCATTCATTCATTGTTGCACTGTTTTCACTACCCTCCTCCCCAGTTCATTGTTCTTCCCTCCCACCCCAAATGTCTGTTTTAATTGTCCAATTGCCACAGTGCTTGTCAAAGCCAGTTCTGATTAATCTCCTTTGTCAGTGTATCATTTGCCATTCCCTACACTCCTCCCTGAGAGAGACTTCACTCTGATTCATAAGGAAAAGGGGATGGCGTATTCTCTTAGCTACTTCCTGCTGAAAAGGGA